AGAGAGAGATTATATTGTTGTTCTCTAAAAAAAAAAAAAAAAAAAAAAAAAAAAAAAAAAAAAAAAAAAAAAAAGGTTATCTTTTAACAATGGCCTATCCCAATCTTTTCCACATTTTGCTACAATTTTTTCAGCGAAAAAAAAATATATTTCTTCCTCCTAATAAACTAATCTCTCTGAAAAAAACAAAAAGAAACGTATCAATTCCTTATCTAAAATCCTAATTCGGCACTTACAATTTAGCTCGCTTTTACCTTGCGCATGAATTTTAAAAATTAACATCATTATTGATGACGGAGCGAGGACATAAAATCAATTTAATATTGAATCTGCACTTTTACTATCTCAAAACCAGCCTTTGAGAGAGTATCCTACACAAGTAAATAAGAAAAAAAGAAAAAGAGTTGCAATAACTGAAGCTCTTCAAGATTGCAAAAAGAAACTGACCAATCCTTGTTAAAAATCTAATTTAACAGACACAATGTAAAGGACTCGAAATCAACCAAAATCAATTATGCCATGGAAATGGTTTCTTAAGGTTTAAGGTTATGTGTGTTTTGTAAAGGAGAAGAGATAATGGTACATTATATATATATATATTTATATATATATATAATACTATATAATATATATATATTATATATATATATATATAATTATATATATATTATATTTAGGATAGTTATTATAAAGATTATGGATTTTAACTGATGGAGTTAAAGAGACGCATCGTTTGACAGAAACTATGAGGGGCTGAATGGCCTTAAAGAGGACTTTTTCATTTTTTTTTATATTCATATGCTCAGAGAAAGAAAATGCAAAACAAAAAAAAAAAAAAAATATATATATAATTAATATAGAATGTATTCTGTTTGTCGTGTGTGAATGCTGGGTATGTAGGAAGGTGCCCGCATCACCTTTCTTATACGAATTTTAGAAATCTACATCGTTGTTGACGACGGAGCGAGGACTCAAAATCAATATCTGAATCTGCACTTTTACTATTTCAAAACATAATCTCTGAGAGAGTATCTGGGCGCGAATACATGTGCGTACAACTGGATCCCCTCTTTTTGGCTTTGTTTTTTGTTGTACGTGCTTTATCAATGCTTCACTAACACCTGACTGAGTTGTGTGAGCCCTCTCTCTCTTATGCTCTACACAATCTGTGGACCCAATCTTACACTTCTGGGTCCACAAAAATCTGGATCCAAAAAAACTGTGAGACAAAAAAGTGCCTCATAAAAATAAACTTCCGAAACTCACCAATCCATGTAAAAAATCCAATTTAACAGACAGTCTAATTTCAAATCATCTATCTGTTTTATCTTTCTTTTTTGAAACTTTGCTTTAATTTCTTTGACTTTCTTTTTTGTTTATTAACAGTATAGAAGAAAATAGAGACGGAGTTAGTTCCAGCATATCCTTATTATAACTATCCAAGTCAGGTCGGTTACTTAGCGAACCGTGAATTCTTTTGAAACTTGAATGTATCACACGAAAAATCAAAGTTCTGATAATCAGAGGCATACTGGAAAATTGATTGTACTTGATAAAAACAACCTACCATGGTTGTCATTTTTTCACCTGACGAAGTTCTAACTAAGCTACAACAAATGTTTGGCCAAGATATAGTAATGACTATACAACTAAGCTAGAAATTGAACTTTGTGCACAACCAAATACGCATATTGCAGTATCAGAAAATAGACACAAGCATAAAGTATTAAGTTCACTCTACAATATATACAGTGTTTTCAATGCGTTAACTAAACATAAACATCAAAGTATTTTTGAACCAACATTTCATCAACTGTCACACAATTTCATCCTTTGCTACATGCTCCCAATCTGAAGAAGCATTATCATACAATGCTGAAGAGTGTTGATTTCCCGGTCTGACCTTCCAATTCGAATGGACAACTGGATCATCCGCAACGGAGAGAAGAAACTGTTTCATGGAGTCATATCCAGAATCATCCACATAAGATCAAAGTTCACCTTCGCTCACATTAACATTGTGATAGTAAAAGTAAGGTTCTATTACCACATTTGCTCTCTGATCTTCTGATACTTCCTTTTGACAACCCAAGCTTCTCCATACCTGCAGAACCAGCAGCAACCAATATCCGAATCTTTTTTATAACCCTCCATAACCGGTAAATTCAGGTTTGTCTCCCCGATGTGTTAATACATTGAACCTTGCCATAACAGAATCCTCAGCATCATTGGCAACCATACTCTGGATACTTTTTCTCTTCCATGAAAGATGAATTCAAGTTGTCTCCTCGCTGTCTTAGGATATTGAGTCTTGCCACAGAATCCTCAGCATCATTGGCAACCACATCCTGATCTTTTTTTCTCTTCCACAAAAGATGATTTCAAGTCGTCTCCCCGTTGTCTTAGGATATTGAGTCTCGCCATAACAGAGTCCTCAGCATCATTTGCAACCACATCCTGATCCTTATTCTCTTTCTAAGAAAGATGACCTGAAGTTGTTTCCCTGTTGCCTCAAGATATTTAGTCTCATCGTAACGAATCCCCAGCACCACACCGGCAACCACAGCAGAATCATTTTCCTCTTTAATGAATGATGAACTCAATTTCTCTTCCCTTCTATTTAAGATATTGAATCTCTCCATTACAGAATCCTCGAATCGTCAATGTGGACAAGTTTGTTTGAAGAGAGGGACTCTGGGTGAAGTCTTTGACGCTAAGTCATTTTCAGCTTCAGGTGCCACTGAGGAATTCAGGTTTAAGTCTGAAGAAAATTTGAAAGCACAAATCTTAGTGGCAGCAGCCACATCTACAGAAATGTCTGAAACAGAATAGAGACGCGCAACTATAACAGAGTCGGAGAAAAGATATCAAACAAACAACTTTTACCTTTTCCTTGGCTCACTTTATGCTTCTCTCCATTTCAATCTTCATACGGTCAAAACGAGCTTTATAGCTTAGGGAACATAGTTTTGTTCAGCTTCAAG